TCTGAAGATCATCAACAGGTCAAACATCAGTGTTTCGTTATCGCATAGAGTGATGAAAATACTCAGATAGAAAAGGCGGGGGAAGGCGGCCATGCGATTTTTGGGCAAGCGGGCCCGGGAAATATTTCTCTGATTTCTTGCGGTCCGCTTGCAGTAATTTGAAAAAAATGTTTGCCAATTTTTAGTCATGCTCGAAGAACAATCGCGGTTTTTCTATATATTAGTTGCGGTGCAGTGGACGCATTCTCGCGCACTTTCCGCGAGAATATGCAAAATTATTGAGGGCCGCACGGTCCTTTATGGAGGACCGCACAGCCCGTAGGTACCTTCCGCTGAGAGAAAGCACCCCAAACTCGGGTAATCAAACCATCGATGGCACCTCTGCTATGTAGAGTGTTACCTTTGCTCGACGCCCAAAACTGCGTAAAAAGAGTCTGAGCGCATGTTGAAAGTTTGGCCAGAGCTCGCTGAAAAAAAAACTTGACAGGCGCTTGCAGAAGATTTTGTATTGCTGCCCGCTGGCAGAACACGGAAGTACCGCTCGCTGAAGTTTTGGCCATGCCTCAAAATTCTGCTGACCGCTTGCAGAAAAACGCGAGTTTGCGAACCGCCTGCCCCCGGCGACTATCTGAGTAACTAAAAGTGATGGCGTTATTCGGCTATCCGGGCCCCAGAATGTTTTTGTGATGGATCTTGCTCAAACTCGGTATATGGGGGTTATTCAAGCCGCTGATGAGAATATCGTAGTCATTTCGCGCGATAGCGCCATTTTCTTGGTTCACGGTGGGTACACGTAAGAAGCTAGGATCATGGATTTCGCTGAAACTTTGCTTAGGGGGGCTAATTTGAAATGCTGATTAGGAATATCATACTCCTTCGGCATTTAGGGGCGTTTTCACTGAATTATGGTAGGTATACTACAGAAAGGCAAAAACTCAGTTTTGGCTGAAACTCGGTCTAGAGAAATTCGACCCTTGACCACGTTTAAAACACTCTCCTTGCGTTTTGAGACCTTTACGCAAAGTTACGGTAGATACATGGCAGCGAGTAAGGCCCCGGACAGACTTCACGCGACTCAATCGTCGCGATCTAATCACCAAGATTTCCATTCATTTTCATTTCACATTCAAAAATTTCGGGCTGGAAAAGTATCACAACCGAATGCAAGTTGATCGGCATGGAATGATGTTGTAACAGTTGTCTCGTCGCGACTTAGTCGCGACGATCAAATCGTGTGAAGTCTGCCCGGGGCCTAACACGACCCTGCTCAGACAGTCGAACGGATACCTCAGGCGGGCATATGGCGCGAGTCTGCCACTTCGCGCTCCGGAGCCCTGCCATTTCACGCATTTTTGTGCTCCGAGGCTCTCCAAAAAGTGGTGCACGTCCGGAGCAGAGATTTGCGCGTCACGGAGAGGGGTCCCATTCATTCACCGTGACGTCACGGTGACGTCACAAACAGGACGAATGGGACCCCTTCCGCGACGCGCAAATCTCTGCTCTGGAGGTGCGCCACTTTTGGGAGAGCCCCGGAGCACAAAAATGCGTGAAATGGCAGGGCTCCGGAGCGCGAAGTGGCAGTCCTCCGCTGGGGAAAGCCTGCGACCCTGCCACTTCTGCTCCGGAGGTATCCCATCGACTGTCTGAGTGCCTGAAACCTTGGCAAAGCGTTACCTAATGTGCTGTTTCGAGAATATCGTACTCAATCCCCATGATAAAGGCAATTCGTGTGGTACAGAAGATTTCCCACGACCGTAATGCTTTTCTTATAGGACCACTGCCGCCGCGATACACCCTTCGGCGGCTTTTGCCTAAGCAAAAACAGGGGGAGGGAGATTTGCCGCGTGCGTTACGCGTTGGGAAGGTTACAGGATGACGCTAGAGACCGCCATGCAAAGCGACCGTTTCCCCATTTCGTGAATATCCGGGATCTAAATTGGCCCGAAAGCGAAAAAATGTCCATTCAAGCCCTACAACCCACCATAGCTTCACTAATGCGTTATGACAGCGAGCAAGCATTATATTCATAAGCGATATACTTGTGAACCGTTACAGGTAAGGTTATGAGCAAATCTGGAACTTCGACCCATCTACACCCACCGTAACCCAAGAAACACTATCCTGCGAAATCAGTGGCCGTATTCATAAACGAACCCAGTGGGTTACGGAACCCATTGGGATAGTGCTTTTGATGAATATCGATTCTACTCCAGGGTAGAATCGATATTCATCAAAAGCACTAACCCAGTGGTTTGTGGAACCCACTAGGTTCGTTGATGAATATGGCCACAGCATGATATTCATGTTCAGCGCGCTAAATGACTACCCTAGACGAAGTTCAAAGCAAATCTATGTTTTTGATCCCATACCGTATAACCACCACAGCTCTATGAAAAGGTCCCAATGTGCAGAGAGAGTATGATATTCGTAATCAGCATGTCGAATAAGTTCTCTGGATCGAACTCTAGTCGAGTTCATAATTTTGACTTCCTACCTACACTATCGTAACCACACGGGAAGACGTTCTGCGGAGAAAGTGTGATGTCTGTAATCAGCATGTAAGATAACCCTTATACTCGAAGTCTGAGCAAGCTCTACCACAAAAAAATTTTGTGGCTCGGATAGCCGAATAGCGCCAAACTAATACTGTACTCGTAATCAGCATGCTCGATTACCCCCTGTGCCAACCCCAGCTCCGTAGCTCAAACTTTGCAAAAAAATCGATAAAATCGATAAAAGTATTAGATAATTCTAAATAATATTGTATTCGTAATCAGCATGCTCGATTCCCCGCAGGTCAAACTTTACAAAAAAAAACCGATAAAAATCGATGAAATCGATGTCGATCGATGACGAAAAGTATCCTATGACACCCGCCGGGCCCGAAGTGTGTGTGCCAAGTTTAGTCCAGATCGGTTCAGAAATAAAATTTTCTATTCAGAACAGATGTACATACAGACATACATACAAACAGACATTCAGCTTTACACATATAATAAGATTGCATCGATTTTCTCAACAAGTGTGAATTCCTCATGTTGTTTTGCTATCAGTGGGATGTCGCACGTATCTGTGGCTTGATGATGTGGTCTCGTGCATAATACTGTCAGCGCACAGCCAGAGTAATTCGCTTGTACAGCTCTCGCCATTTACTTTGACATTGATGTCACTCATTTGTGCCTTTCCTTATTACATTGCACTATTTATAGCTCGGATCTCATTTAATGACATCCTGTTACTTGTTTTATCCGTTTTGTTTGTTAACTGTTTTTATTAGCTTGTACCGAAAGTTCTTTCGCACCAAATTCAAAAATTCACTTCTGAATTTTCCAACCGATTGGACCGCTCTTATTTCTTTATGAAAGAGCAAGTCATGCTCTTTATAATGACATCTTGACTGCTTACTAATGATCATCTGTTGCATAGATAGGAGCGATAGAAGAAAATTAGTCAAAATTCGAGTTTTTTGTGTAGGGTCATAAAAAATCGGAAACGTGCAACAAAAATCGGAACAGTCGGTTTTGTAGGTTCTTTCACCAGCTCTTTCTAACAGTGCAAAGTTTGCGCCGATTGAGCGTCTCTCTGAAAAGTTATGATTTTTCTGAAAAATGCCAAAATAAATCAGATTCGCCCTTTTGTACTGCTTGCTCGAAAATCATAACTTTTCATAGAGAAGCTGCGCAAACTTTGCACAATTAGAAAGAGCAGATAATGGAACCTATAATACTGACTGCTGCGATTTTTGTTGCAAGTATCCGATTTTTCATGACCCTACACAGAAAATTCGAATTTTGACTAATTTTTTTCTATCGCTCCTATCTATGCAACAGATGATCAATAGTAAGCAGCTAAGATGTCATTATAAAGAGCATGACTTACTCTTTCAAACAGAAATCGAAGCGGTCCAATCGATTGGAAAATTCAGAAGTTATGAATTTTTGAATTTGTTGCGAAAGAACATTCTACAACCTGATATAATAAAGATCCGATTACTCAAGTTTAAGGAGTGTTCTTGTCCAGTCGCTTATGAGACACGTGACAGTTCAGTTTATTTGATGCTCATTAAAATCAAGCTGCACTCAGAAGCAATGTATATTATTTCCCACTATCGCTGTTGCCTACATGATGGACGGACCTTATGCTCAGAAATATTTCGCCATGTTAGAGAAGGAACTAAGCAAACGATACTAGGCAGTTTTGCATGATTCGTAAGTGGTTATATGCCACACAATCCAGCTTTCTTGCTCGCATCACAGTACGAAGACTTCAAAACAATCATGTGCACGACGCATATCACAAGCGAGACGATCTTTTTTCGAGACCTGCGATCACTGGTTGCTGTGTTTATTTACAAGCTCTCAAAGTGTGCGTGGAGTGTTTCTAAAGGTGTATCCTACCTCGTGATGATGATTATATGTGTGCACAATGCGAGCAGCCTTACACGCGTCTTTTTACTCAGGATATTACGTCAAACACACCCAGCTCAAAGAAGATTCCAAAGCGGACGTTAATAATCGCGCTTAGATAAATAGGTACATGTGCTACATGATTACTGAAGTTACAGAGTGAAAATTTAAAATTTAAGGCACATTATTTAACGCAGGTAGTCTTTGTGAACATTTTGCTATACTTCTGATTATTCGGAAATCATCGGTTCTTTCTGTCCATAAAAAAGGCTCAATTTTGAAAGGCACCCGTTAAATATAACTGAGATAGCCAGTAGATTGTTACCTCTAAATGTATTTTGATTATGATTCTAGACATTAACAAAAAATTCAATCCTGAGTCTGTTTTTACTTTATAGCCTGAAATATGTTTAGTCGCGGAAAGGGAAGGGCGGGTAGGAGAGGGGGGGATAAGAAGTTCGTTGAGTATCTGATGATATCAGATACTGATGATAAGATGTCAGATCGGGATAAGCAAACATACCCCGCCTTCGTCCTGTCAACTCACTATAAATTCAACAATCCGAGAACAAATATCACTCACTCCTACGTAACCCATTTTTTTTTCAAATGAATTCCGATCAGGTATGTTTGCAAATTTAGCGTAAAGATTTTTCGTTGGTTGATTTGCAGTACGATTTTTAGACCTACGGTGTGTACTGTGACGATGACAACAAACTGCATTTCTATAATTGTGCACCAATAAAGGAAAAACAGCCTGCTCCGAAAATAGAAAATCCCGTCAAAAAGCTCATCAAGAAAATGTTCAAACGTCAGGACTCAGCCGGTGCCAATACATCCGGTTCAGAGCTCTCCCTCGCCTCGTACACAAAGAAGTGAAGAGGCCACTCGTGTTTCTCACGCTGAGGAACTGCGTGTTATTGTGCGTAATCAATTTTCATATACATATTGTTGTTGAGCGATCTCATGAGAAAATCATAAATTTTTAACGATACTTGCGTTTAGTATTCGAGTCGTAGTTATTATTTACACTAGCAGAATCTTACGGGATGAACTTATTGTTAGCTAAAAGCGCTTATTAAGGAAGGCATTTATCTCGTAGCGCTTTTCGCGATGAGTTGCATACAAGTCAAGATGCCTTTAAACGCAGTACACAAGGACCTTCCATATGTGCTAGTTACTAGGCAAAATCAAAGGCACTTCTCTGCTTTAGATGGCATGGATAAGTACTGTCTGGATAACCTGAATTCGCAATGATTACGCTCCAAGCCCACATACCTGAGAATCTGACAAATACTTCTTGAATATGAATAATTTCTTGAAATAGTTTTAAAACTATTATATTTGCCTACTTTGGTTCCGCAACAAGCAACCAAATTCAGTGCCAAGTGACCCAAACAAACCGTAACCTCGTCCATGAGTTGTTTAGCAGATAGGAAAACCAGATCTCACATCAGCATTTCAAAGGCGGTCATGATAACACATAACTTAATTTATAATTTATTTTATAATACATACAAGAAGAGCCAAAGTTAGTGATTTTTCCACTTCAAGCAGAATGCTGCTTGAAGTGGAAAGATCACTCAATCTTTCCTTGTTGGCATTTCCATTTTTAGTCACTAATACAAAGGTCCTATTGGGCGATCCATTCATGAGATATAATCTTTTATTGGTCCGCGATTCATCGCATCGACAATATAAGACATCGCGATTATAATTGCTGCGATTGTTCATAATCTTCAGTAGGCGCATACTCTAAAAGCAAGGTGCGGCATGTAGCATAAGTTTACGAAATCTATGCGCCTATGCGCTTGAATTCGATACGCGGCGCATTTGCAGACATTTGGCAAATTTCCAGATCGCGTGTCGCCGCGAATCTAAGGGAATCAGTTGCTGACGATGAATAAGACATCGACCTGGCGCGACTTTGGTCGCTGCACGATTCGGCATTATCATAATTCTCGTAAGCGAAATCTCGGTTCAACACCCTTGCGTCAACTGCTGAAAAGATCGCCTGTATCGGGCCTAAGACATACCTCGCGCGATTCCAGTCGCTGCGCGATGTGGTAACGGAACGACTATCCATAGTAAGTCATCAAAGTGGTTTGTTAAGACGGGACTTGATCGGTTTGCAACAAATCGCAGAAGCTACGCGCCTGTGTATGGAGGACCGCGTACGATTAATATGGGAGATATTTGGCAAGGTGCCAGGTCGCGTGAACGCGCGATTTGGCCGAATCGCGTGAGATATGCCTTAGGTTTCATAATTATTCGTAAACGCACGTGGATTGAACCAGATTCGTAACTTTTGCGAAAACCTACGAAAGCTACGCGCCTATATATTCAATATCAATGCACGATTAATCTGTAGACATCCAAGTTGCAAAACGCCATTTTGCAAAACGCCAAGTTGCGTGGATGTAGCGATCTGACGGAATCGCGGGGTGTATCGTTAGGCCTTAGAAATCTGTGCACGGTGGAACCAACACCGATCAAATCGTCTACGGTAGCCAACACTACAGCGTGTATGACCGAAGCGTAAGGTCTCGGGCAGAGTTCACGCAATTTCATCGCGATTCATCGCGACAAGACAGCTGTCACAAGTTCATTGCCTGCCGATTTTCTTGTATTTCAGTTGTGATAGTTAGTCGTGATTAGTCCGGAGAACTATCACAACCGAAATGCAAGATATCGGCATGCATACATTATTACAGTTGTCTTGTCGCGATGATTCGCGACTTTAAAATCGCCTGAACTCTGCCCGAGGCCTGACACAAACGGGCGCGTATACACAATGAAGCGAGGCCGATATAGATCCTAGGTATGTCCGACACAAAATCTCGCAGCAGTGGCTACCGAGAAGGAAAAGGGGAAGGGGAAAATAGATTGCGTATTTTTTGAAGTCTACTTAACACGTTTCGGACCGCGAAATCGCGCGCGGCGAAAAAGAGGGTACTTTCAGCCGTTAGCCACCAAAGGAACCTTAAATCGTATACTGTGTGCCACATCTGTAATCAGCATGTCAGATAAGATTCATACCCAAAGTTCTAAGTGACTGTGAAGTGTTTGAAATTTGTCGCCTTTTGTGCTTTACTGAAAGGTAGGAACAAGAACTCAGTTTCTCATTGCATACGAAAGTACCTATTTTGTACACGATACACATCATTTTGGAACTACGGTTCTTCTCTTTGAATTCAAAGCAAAGAAAGGTTGCGACGTCGCACGCGTCGTTCGCGTTGCCGCACTTCGTTGCAACTGTTGTTCGAATCGTCCTTATATCTTCCAAACAAATGTCGGCGGCACAGCCTTACAAAGTTATTTGAAAAGGAGGAGCTTAGGCCTTTGACTTGATAACCTTGGACGAAAAGAACACCCTCTGCAAACACTAAAAAGAACGTTTCGAAAAGGAGCTTGCTGCACCATGTGCAGCACCGGTCCGAAACGTATTAAATGAGTTATAAAAATAGACCACACTTTGTCGAGCACACTATCGGTAGACCACACTGTCGGTAGACCACACTATCGGTAGACCACACTTTGTCGAGCACACTATCGGTAGACCACACTATCGGTAGACCACACTATCGGTAGACCACACTATCGGTAAACCACACTATCGGTAGACCACATTATCGGTAGACCACACTATCGGTAGACCACACTATCGGTAGACCTCACTTTGTCGAGCACACTATCGGTAGGCCACGCTTTGTCGAGCACGCTATCGGTAGACCACACTATCGGTAGACCACACTATCGGTAAACCACACTATCGGTAGACCTCACTTTGTCGAGCACGCTATCGATAGACTACACTATCGGTAGACCACACTATCGGTAGACCACACTATCGGTAGACCACACTTTGTCGAGCACACTATCGGTAGACCACACTTTGTCGAGCACACTATCGGTAGACCACACTATCGGTAGACCACACTTTGTCGAGCACACTATCGGTAGACCACACTTTGTCGAGCACACTATCGGTAGACCACACTTTGTCGAGCACACTATCGGTAGACCACACTGTCGGTAGACCACACTATCGGTAGACCACACTATCGTAGACCACACTATCGGTAGACCACACTATCGGTAGACCACACTATCGGTAGACCACACTATCGGTAGACGTCACTTTGTCGAGCACACTATCGATAGACTACACTATCGGTAGACCACACTATCGGTAGACCACACTATCGGTAGACCACACTATCGGTAGACCGCACTATCGGTAGACCACATTATCGGTAGACCACATTATCGGTAGACCACACTATCGGTAGACCTCACTTTGTCGAGCACGCTATCGATAGACTACACTATCGGTAGACCACACTATCGGTAGACCACATTATCGGTAGACCACATTATCGGTAGACCACATTATCGGTAGACCACACTATCGGTAGACCTCACTTTGTCGAGCACGCTATCGATAGACTACACTATCGGTAGACCACACTATCGGTAGACCACACTATCGGTAGACCACACTATCGGTAGACCACACTATCGGTAAACCACACTATCGGTAGACCACACTATCGGTAGACCACACTATCGGTAGATCACACTATCGGTAGACCACACTATCGGTAGACCACACTTTGTCGAGCACACTATCGGTAGACCACACTGTCGGTAGACCACACTTTGTCGAGCACACTATTGACGAAAATAGATTGCGTATTTTTTAAAGTCTACTTAAATGAGTTATAAAAATTTGCAAGTTACTTGTTATAATTGTAATTATTGAAATAATTTAAATTTTTTGCAGATTCAAATTAATCTTTTAAAAAAATTTTCAGGGACGCACCGAAGCCATGTCCCCCTTGCCCCTTCCCCAAAAAAATTAACCGCATCCTCGGCGCACTATTGAACTATCGATTTATCGCCGCAGTTGCGCTAGTGTAGATTGCTGCTGAAGCACCGCAACTTTGTTGCTGAAAATGGGGACGGTGCTGCGTACTGCCATTGTTACTGTATTTGCACGGTGGCTGTGTCCTTGCCACCACATTATAATCCCAGAAGGTAATTCCATATCAACTTTCGGTGACTCTCGGCATATTAACAATATCCTTTGCGTATTTTCTGAGCCTTCTCCAAGATTTACCACTTGATTCAACTGGCTCGGCATTGGCAAAGGCGGGGCTTCGTGACCTAAGTAAGGCTGGGTCAGATCAGAGAGCTCTCGTGCGAGAGAGACGCAGGTGCGTCGCGGGGGCGAGCGGCCTCAATTAGATCACAAAACCCCGCCCTAATGGTGCCAAGCCAATTATCAAAGGTTATATAACGTTTTATAGTAACATTTTGGCCAACTCGCCTTCGTCAGAGCCTGTCATTGTAGAAGATATGAGAGCTACTCGCTCAAACGCCCTATCATTTTACAGAAAAAAGACAAAATATTGTAGAAACGATACAGGTCGAACAGCTTAATTCAAACTTGAGCACCTCCATCACCGAGTGACATGCAAAGACTGAGAGAGTCAGGGTTCCTGACTCGGAGGTAGTAGATTAAACCCGCGGTTAAAGAATACGGTCAAGGAATAGCGCAAGATCATTCGTCATAGCATTGCACTCGTCTTTTCTGTTTTTGTGAATTTTTGTTCGAAATCCAACAGGCCTCTAATGTTTTGCGCCCGCAACTTCTGTATCTTTTGACAGAACTGACACTGAGACTTCAAATTATGTGCGATGTTTACGATGCGTGCCTAACCTCAGACAGCGAACCAGATCCATTCGACTTTTTCGGTACCGGCCGTGTTCTCCTCAGCGGTGGTACGAACTTGTTCACCGGAGCTTACCAAACTCGTACCTCGGAACCTTTCGGACTCTGTGCACCGTAAGCCCCCGAAAGCCTATTTCGCCCCAGAAACCCTTCATTTTCACACCTGCATACTGCAACTGTCCCACGCCCCTGAAACCCTGTATTTTCATACCTGGCATACTTTAACTAGCCCTAAAGAGCTAAAAGTACT